GTAAGCCTAAGAAACACTCTCACAAAAACATTTGAAGATTATGACAAAGACAGGGAAGAAACTTTTAATAGCTTCATCACAAAAATAAAGGACATGGAGAATGAAATTAAATGCCTTAGGCAAAAAAATACATGCAGCAGAATAAACACCGGAGAAGAATCTACAAAATCATTCAGAGAGACAAGCACACAGACAACCACTACAGAGGCGAAGGACCTCACAAACAAATCCACAGTTTCAGACAACAAAAAGCCAGAAGCATCAAACACAGAAACACTAATTCTACTTGAACTAAAGGCCCTAAAAGAAAAACTGAATAATATGGAGTCAAAAATGAAGAAATTAGAAGATAAAATAACAGTAGAAGATTCCCAGCACCTAATGACTGAGAAAAAGGAGACTCCTTGCAAGCCAATTAACACACCAAGACGAGTTTCATATAATAAAAACAAATTGGCAACTACTAAGAAAACCCATTTCAGTGTTTCCTTGCAAATAGCAAAAAGCAAGTTGAGGAAAGAAGCACCAGAACACCAAAGTCAACCACAACAAACACAAAATCAAAATATTAAAGAACCCAAGGCCATCAAAATCCCAAAAGGAGTTTGCTCTACTTTCAAGTTCACTATATCTCCCCCAAACAAATCAACTAAACCAAAGAACACAGGGAAACCCCCGATCACCGCCAAGCTTCTGAAGCCGGGAGAGACCATTGAAGACTTCTTTTGGAAAAATATAGACCTATATAAAAAGAATATTCTGTCACACACCAAGCGACTAAACATGACCGAGATGGACTGCCTCTCTTCTCAAGGAGAACAGAAACATGAGCAGCTGCAGGAACCCAATTCAAGTCAACAATCCAATCACTCTACAGTGTCCCATACTATAACCCCTTTTTTAGAAACAAACAGCCTGAAAAAAGCAAAAGAAAAATCTGCAAATCTCCAAATAATTCTTGTGTAGCAATAATGCACCAAAATATTAGAGGACTTGCTACAAAGACGAACAGACTACACCATATTCTCAATGACACAAAACCAAGCATTTTAGTCTTGACTGAACACGGACTGAAAAAAACAGAGCTAGAAGCTACAAAAATTCCCGGCTACTCTTTAATTACCCACTTTAGTAGAGAAGAACATAAACTTGGAGGTGTTGCAATATATTCCAAGGAATCCCTTGCTGATACAGTATCAGCTATTAACATATCAAACACATGCCGGGAGTTAATTTTCGAAGCAGCAATGATTCGCATGCAGACAACAAAGAAAAAGGATATCTACATTCTGGGAATCTATAGACCACCAATTGAAAATGCAAGAATTGCCCTTGACCTCCTATCAGACACGCTAGAACTACAAGAAGTACACAAGAAAAACCTCATACTCATCGGTGACATAAATATCGACAGGCTCACCCAAGATTCCAAAAACACCATGCTGGAAGAAGAGTTAACCACACAAAACATCTGGAGATTTCCTCTAGAGGCCACCAGAATAACCCATGACACAGCCACTTCAATAGACTGTATATGCTCAAACATACCATATGCATATATTACTGGACAAGTTGTGCATACTGGTCTATCTGACCACACTGCGCAGCTATGCCTGCTGAAAACACACCAAGAAGACACTTCCCAAAGATTTGTAATGAAAAGAAGCCTAAACAACACAAACCTAAACAATCTAAAGGCTCACCTCCATCTACAAAATTGGGAACATGTTTACTCTTCACCGAATCTTGAAACCTCCTACAACAAATTTCATAATATTCTTCAAACAGCACTGGATTATACATGCCCATTAAAGAAAACTAAAATTAGTACAAACAAAAAACATATGAAGTACTATGATCCTGAAGCAAAATACCTTAAAGAGAACTTTTTGAAAGCTCTGCAAAAATTTGAGTTAACAAACAGAAATGAAGACAAATTAGAAATGATTAATAGAAAAAGGATATACGACATGAAACTAAGAAACCTAAAAATGTCCTCAACAGCTAGCTTCATAGAACAAGCTGACAACAAACCAAAAGCACTATGGCAAGTTATAAACAAGGAAAGAAAAGGAAAATGTGAAGAGAAAACCCTTACAGAATTAGAAATAAATGGCAAACTCACAAATGACACAAAAGAAATGGCCGAACACTTCAACACATTCTTCTCAAATATAGCAGAAAATACCCTTGACCAAAACAGAGCAATCGTTATAGACCCTGAAACAGTGCTGAATGGAGAGGAACCAGTCTGCCCAATACACCTTACCCTAACTTCAACATCCTATAAAGAAGTTAAAACGATAATAAACTCCCTAAAAGCCAAAACATCAAGTGGAATAGATGAGTTTTCCTCTAAGATGATAAAGCACTGCTCTCAAGAACTCATCTCTCCTCTGGTTTATCTTATAAATAAATCATTTAAAGAAGGCAAATTCCCATCCGCCATAAAAGTCAGTAAAATATACCCCAAACATAAAAAAGGACCAACTGAAAATGCTCAAAACTACAGGCCCATCTCTCTCATCTCCAGTTTCTCTAAAATCATAGAAAAAATTGCTCTGGCTAGATTAATGGCACATCTTAATCATAACAAACTCTTAACTGACAGCCAACATGGCTTTCGGAAGAATAAATCTACATCCTCAGCTATAACAGCACTAATTGAGTACGTCCTAGACCAGATAGAAAACGAACAATACATTTCCGCCATCTTCCTTGATTACAGTAAAGCTTTTGACTGCCTGGGCCACGACCTGATCTGCAAGAAACTCGAAAGACTCGGTATAAGAAACTCTGCGCTAGAATGGTTCAAAAGCTACCTAACGGGACGTTCACAAGTTGTGGAACTGAAAAACTCATCAAATGAAGTCACAGAAAGTTTCAAATCTTCAAAAAGCAAGCAGACGAGAGGAGTTCCACAAGGCTCTGTATTAGGCCCGATTCTATTCATCTTATTGACTAATGACTTCCCCAAACAAATTGAGAGTGAAAATGCTGTTGCAATCATGTATGCAGATGACACAACCATTTTGATCAAGGACAACACAGCCCAAAACCTTTACCTTAATTCAAAATCGATCCTAAATAAAGCTATCCTCTACTCAAAGAACAATGACTTAGCAATAAACCCCACAAAAACTACAACTCTGAATTTCAGTAAGAAAAAAGACATAGTCCCTCAATTAGAGGATGTAACAATAGAAAACCACACAAAATTTCTCGGTGTTATCCTTGATAACAAACTAACATGGAAAGAGCACATCAACCACTTAAGCAAAAAAATCAGTACTGGAATATATGTCGTCAGAAGAATAAACTACATAGGCGGACTCTCCGTGGCCAAAACAGCTTACTTCGCACTGGTAGAGTCGCATCTTAGATATGGCTTGACAGTGTGGGGAGGAACTTCAACAAAAAATATGAATCGAATTCTTGTCCTTCAAAAGAAAGCCATAAGAGCCCTCGCCAACCTTGTCCCACCACAGACTTGCAGACTAGCTTTCGCAAACCTAGGAATCCTCACAGTGGTGTCTCTCTACATACTTGAATCTGTAAAGTATGTGAATGAAATAAACCCCCCAAGAAACCAAGACCTGCACCACTACAACACCCGTCATGGCTCCAAATTTGTACTACCAGTTCACCGAACAACTCTTTGGGAGAAAAAACCTTCCTACACCGGCTGCAAGCTGAGGAACCATCTACCTGACTACCTGAGAGACCTGACTGGCAACAAGCTACACCAGGAGTTGAAGAAGTGGCTAATCGCAAGACCCTTCTACTCAATAAAGGAATTTTATGAAAATTAACATGTACAATTCACTATTGTATTGACACTATTGTAATTCTTGACGAATTAACAATAAAGAATATTGTATTGTATTGTATTGTATTGTATTGTATTGTCACCGGACATGAACTAGACACGAAAAACAAGCTTCAAAGTTTACAATGGGATGTAAAGTTTACTTGTGTTTAGTCTATGGTAAGACTATAATGCATTTTCCACCCTAATAATCGTAAGAATAATGTTAAACATACTTCCAAATATATTTATTTTATCGACTACGTTGTTCTTACTCCTAATTAATCGTAGGATACGACATTATGGTACCGATACGATATAGGTAATACACTTTCAGCAACACTGGCCAAAAATATTCGTGCTTGGCTCCCATTGGACGGCCCGCGAGGCTTCTGATTGGGAGTTAGCGAGTTCCGCCGAGGGACCGAGTTAGCGACTTCCGTACGAGGACGGAATTCGCTAACCCGGCTCTAGAGCGGGTTAGCGGGTTCCGGAGTTAGCCAATTCCGAAACCGAACAAGTTAGCGAGTTCCTCTCACCGACCAAATTTGAAGATAGGGCGTTTAACATGGGGTTAGCGAGTTCCAGAGTTAGCCAATTCCGCGGACCCACAGTTAGGCTTGGGTTAAAAGTTAGTTTATTATTTATTTATTTATTATCATCACATTACATCAATGATTGACAGGTGATTTGTCATCAACCTAAAATCTATTGTAACAAAACAACAATCATAATATTGAATACTTAAAAATAATTATACATTTGTTAGGAAATCTTACAGTGAAAAAAATTCCTTCTCCAGAAGCTATATCTTAAGTGTTTTTTTTTTTATTTCAATATGCAATCAATTTCTTTTATTGTTGAAGGCAGCTTATTATAAATTTTGTGTCCCATATATTGTGGGGATAAATGAAATAATTTTAGTCTATGTTGCATTGGTTTTATTAATTTTTTGTATCTTGTATCATGGTTGTGAGAGGGCTGACTCTCCATAATTGTATCCAAGTTACTCTTGACCATCATAGAAATATAATAAAATATAAGAGCTGTATAAAGTGAGAATTTTGAATTGACTGAAATATTCTTGGCAATGTGTATTCGACAGAAGCTGGTCACTACGTTAATTGTCCACAACCTTAAGTAATGTCATGTCCACCCAGCTCTTTAACTAAGTGAATGACATATTTTCCAGATGGGAGGCAAGCAGCTAGAAGGCCGCAAAGTGGTAGCAGTGTCTGGCGGAGGTCAACATACAGTTCTGTTGGTAACAACGGATCAGAACAGCTGATAAATACCAGCATTGTCAGACATAATTGTTTTACTTTTTGTCATCATCAACATTTCCCCCATCCTAGCTCAATTTGTTGAGTACTTTTTATTTTTGTTTGTAACCGTCTTCTACGAGTATTTGAAGGGTAAATTAACTGTGGAAATATGATTGAGAAAAATCAACAATCAATGCTCAAATTGTGTACTTGAAGTAGCAATGTGTAATAAAGGGTGGATATATTTTTGCTATTTTTAATTTATTGTAGGCTTAATTGTGTAAATAAATAAATTAAACTTGAATATTTTAACTCATAATAAATCTTAAGCAGGTCTTGAGGTATCATTTTAGTTGTCGAGCTTCTTTAAATCTATCAAGAAAGTTAGTTTATTTTTTTATATTTTTTATTAGTACATTTTGAAATAAGCAATTAATTATATAGATTGCTTTTGCCTACAAAAGATAACAAACACTGCTTTCCTGCTTCATAAGAAACACTCATTGAAATTAAAGTACTATATAACTATTATTGTAAAAATAAAAATCATATGGCCTACTTTAGTAATATATACTTGCCTTAAATGTAAAAAAATGTGTTTATGCCTTTTTAACTAACATAATAATATTGTTATTAAATCTAACTTTTGTAAATGAAAGTGTTGCTTACAACTTTGTTGTTATTTTGTGTCTTATTTTAGTTTTACATTTTTTGTCCGAGGTAGAATATCCTGAGCCTTATAAAATTGATTGTTAATAATCTTCACCAATACAAGATTCACAGCAAGTTATTTTCAACTTTAAAGCCTGTTTTGGTGTTTAGTTTTACTCTTGTAATCGTGTTATCGTTGTCTCTTTGTTTATTTACGTTTGATTTCATTTGGTTGGAAAATATTCTTATGTTGAATATATTTGAGAAAAGTAGCATCAGAAGGTCACATACTTTTAATTTGCCACAATCTTTTCTTTAGGACGTATCGAAGTATCAATAAACTACATTCAAAAAATGTACATGTCAGCTGTCATTAAACTTTTAAAACCAGTATGATCATTTAAAGTCTTAGTATATACTATATTTCATTTGTTTTGTAACAGTGTGCATGAAAACTGTGTTGCCATCTGAGCAAATTTATTTCTAGGTATTTGAAAGGATACAGCTAAAAGTATTATGCATTGCTAAGTAGATCACTTGTTAAAAAATATGTTTTCACTATTATAAAAAGTTAAAATTATCGCAGTGTTTATTTTAATTTTAAACCTTTTGCACAAACTTATTAACCTGGGTTTGTGGTACATCCAATCTCCAATCACAATGTACATCTAATTGCATTTAACTGTATAGCAAGTTCTTGAAGTCTTACTTCACATTGAAAACATCTGCATTTACTGGTTACTCTTAACACATTGACTGTGGTTGCGGGATGGCCGGGACCTGGAAAAGCCAATGTGCTGCTTAGGCGAGTGCGTAAAAATGCTTAAATTCAGTTTCATCAAATAGGAGTGGCACAGTGTAGCACTCGCTGCGTTCCAGTCATGGAGATAGTCCTAAAATAAACAGATACCAGCTTCTGTTCAAGTATTTGTGGTTGTCTGTCTTCAGTTCGTGTGCAATTGTGCATGCGCCAAGTCAAGTCCAAATAGGAGTTTTAACATAGTGTTATATTACTCTTAAAATAAATTTAAGTTACGTTTTTTTATTAAGAATAAATTACTTGCCAACCAAATTTAAAATGCTATATGTTCCCTTCTTGAAATGTGTAGTAGTCTACATTCAGAAAAATGACGCTACAACCATCACTGCTCCAAGCCTGGAGCAGTATATTTGTAAATATTCGTCAATTATTAACAGAGGAGCAGTGTTTCGTAGAAATTTCCTTCACATATAATATATAAGGATGTCCAAAGAGAATATAAAATTTTCATAGTAGTTGCTAATCTTTATTTTATTTTATCTTGCGTACGGTATAGTAAAAATTAACTGTGTTCTTAATTTTAGATGAAAAACTTTTCTTTTATTTTAAATTATCTTACTAAGCAACTTAATTAAACAATACATAGCAAAGTATCAGGCTGTATCAATCAGACAAACACTTGATAATAAATAATAATTTTACTGATATTATTGGGGGAGCAAGCTGGTCTAGTGGTTAGAGCGCGGGACTCCGGTTCCTGAATTCCGCCAAATCACCAATGGATTTTATCCAAGTGATAATGCCGCAACCCCTGCCCTAGGTCTAGCCTGAAGTAATCAGAAAAATAATTCAGACTCGTGCCTAGCGTCATAGGAAAAAAAACTTATATTATTACACCAATAATTGTATAATTAAGCATTTAAATGATATCATTGAATCACCTAATGATATCATCTAAATACAATTGAACAGAGGTTACTAGACATCACTTCAAGTTTACTGATCTCTAGTGATTATGATATCATTTAGACATCTATTGACATCACTATGTATCTAATGGTATCAATACAATATGTAGTTATTTCAATGTTTACTGATTTTCAATTTTTTTTTCACTGGGGATTCTAATTTAGTACAGATAAATATTCTTTGGTGAGAATAATGTTTACAAAGAATTGACTGGAATAATTGATGAGCAATGAGCATATTATGACTGAATATTTTTGCTTGTCTTACACAATGCAATGCAGTCATACTCAAGTTTTTTTATTGGATTTTTTATTTTATTTGATCCATTACCATTTCATATACCTAAAGGGCTTGTATGGTTGGCTTACAATAATTTAATTACAACAATAAACCTCTGGGATATCCGTTAAAGTAATGTTATCATATTATTCAAAATTGTAACAAGGTGCTTTCTATAGCTGAAAATGAAATAATAGTGATTATTCAAATACAGCCACAAGTATACAAGTGTAGCATTAGAGGAAGATGGTGAATAACAGAAATGTTTCTGATTTATGCCTCTCCCTAGTTCCCTTGTGGTTTCTGAGTTATGGAGCAAGGAGGATGTTTCAGTTAGAGTGGTTATGATAATTTGCTACACACAACTGTACATGTACAACACCTAACCACAATTAAACTCTTGAAAAACTATTGAAATTTATCAAGTTATTGTAATTTGCAATTCCTAGAGAACAGAGAAAAACAATTTTTCAATTTCTTTTTCTTCTAAAAATCTTGTTTCTAATCATGAATTCGAATTTTTTAACCACTGTGTGTGTACGGAAATTTTTACATTCCTCTCCATCTAATGAATTGAAATTTATAAGCCGATATAAAAACTGTGTATGAAAAAATGTAATTTACTGGTATAACCATTTTGTAGTTTGGTTTTGTGAAACATTGTTTAAGCTAAGAACCTATAAGAGGTATGGTAATACTTCCACAATCACTAATACTGTAAAAAAAAGGTTCTGTGGATCCGACACGGCATGTAATAAGTTTCTGTGACGTGGTCATATCCAGAACACAGAGTTTGTATCGATGTCTAAAACTACTCATAGAATATTAACAGTTTGTTTTATATGATGATTGATTTTTGTAATAACATTGACACAATTATTACCTAACACTCTTCCACTCATCTTTGCCTTGCATTATAGACACATGTTGTGTTTGTTTCATGTGTCATTAAATCTCTTAAAAATGTATTAACGAGGTCCTACCTCTACATAATAGGTCTTTTCTTTTCAGTTCAATTCTTTGGGACCGCTACACACTTTTTGGTGCATGTTTTTAGCTAAATGAGTTTTGGATGAGTGTAGAATGACGTGAGATGATCTGTTAAGCTTGTTACTGAATGCCAGCTTTTTCTTAAGAGGGACCATTTATTTAAAGACCAGCTTTTAAAGGAAACTGGGTCCAGTTTTGAACCATCAACAATCTATTAACTTCCAAACTAGGATCAAACCGTAGTAACTTTTTTATCCTAGGTGAGCTCTATAACCAGTTTCCCATAACTGAATGTTAGCTTTATAAATTCTAAAAGTATGCAATGTAATTTACCTGATGTTGCAAAGGAATGTCTAAATCAGTATTTGTCGACTGATAAGGTGAAATATGTTCCCAATGATGGCTTACGTCCCATAAATAAACCACACAAGGAAAATCTCTTATCCTTTCCGTATAAATCTTTCACACCCTTCAGTACTTCAAAATATTGCCTTACTGGTGGTTAGTTTGTTATTCTCGTTATTTCCCCTGGATAAAGGGAAACAAACCTATTTTAGATTTTTTAATACATGGTTGTTTTTTGATAAATAAGAATAAAATGGTTTTATATTTGATGAATTACCAACATTCACCTGTGCTTGCAAAAGGGTATTAAGTAAGATAAAAGAAAAAAATATAAATCCTCTAAAGCATGTAACGTTTTAAGTTTTATGGTCCCTCATTTCGGACGTAGAACTGATCACTCTACTGAAAATTAATACCCTAGCGTCAGCGCGCACGCTTAGGCCGATAATTCCCATAGAACTTGGATACTGCTTTTCCTGCCAGAATCATTATGCATAGAAAATGACAAACGCCAAACCTCTATTCGTTCACTTGAGCTACCGACCTTATCTGCCTCACTCAACCTTTGTACTCTGCAAGTGGTTACTGGATTCTACGAGCTTCACATCGTCTGGCCTACGTTACTGTTCCAGTGTAGTTGAGTCATCGTCGACGACAGATCGCCATATTGCTTCATTCTACTGAATTTACCCTCGTCTCTGCTAGAGGATTTTTGCACTTGTTTGGTGTGAAGAGGTAAGGCAGATCGCATTAAATTATACTTTTAATCAACTGGTAATCAGCCAATTAGTTCAAAACTAGTTCTGTCTAAAATTTAAAATGTTGCTTAAGGTAAAACAGTAGCCTATTATGCCTGCCCGGTTCCTGCAAATGTAGTTTTGTCATCGTAAATTTGACCTTGTACTGTACTTTTGTAAATTAATTGTAACTTGTAAATTTGAATCAATTGTATATTCTTGTGTTTTGTCCGTTGTTAATGAATCGTGTGTAGTAAATCGCTAATATTTTGAGAAACTTCATGTTCATGTAAAGTAACCTGTTAGGAATTGAATTTTCATGTAATAATGTTTTGTACAATTGTAGACGCAATATTCTGAACTATAATGTGATTTTATCTTAACTGTCCTAATTGATGCAAATTAGTAGGCAAGTAAAATAGTATTTCGGAACCAATTACCTTGTAGACAACTGTTCGTATTTTATTTATTACTGTGTAAAATATTCAAATCAGCTGATCGTTCGTAATACTTAATATTCAAAACTGTGGCTATTATTGTTTCAAATATTAATTATAATTGTTGATTTTATTCTTACAGCGTAATAAAGGGTGTTGTTTATAACTTGTGTAAAGGTAAAGATTTTATTTATATGTTATGTTTAATGTAAAGAAATTGCCTTTGTCAGATATATAGCTTATTAATATTCTGCTGATTTTGCAATTCAAGACGTTATTTAATTCAAGACGATCACTATGAACCAAAGTCAATCTGGTTAGGCATAATTTTGTTATCTTAGGATAACTGTAAATATTCATTTCAGATGTAAACAAACTTAGATAACTAGTTGCTAGATTCATTCGTCGTTTTATTTGTTTTAAACTTGTATATTTCCAAACAAAACTGGTTTTATAGTATTGCTGTTATCAAATATTTATTCATGATGAATTTTATAGATGTTATTCACTTTTATGTTGTTCAAATATTCAATAGTTCGAATGACTAAATTTTGTCTGATTATGGCATAGTACTATTCATGTAGGAATTTTATAGGGTTTTCTGTATTGGCTGTCTCGACTGAATCTCTACGTACTGCCGTCTACCTACTGCTAACTACTGTTGCCGCACTTCCCTGTCTCTCTCTCTCTGGGTGTGATACTACTGGGTTGCCGCACCACGGCCATTGTTGTGCACCGGACGGCCGGACGGTCCTGGAATTCCCGGCTCACACGGACGCATTCCTACGTCACTATCTCCGGATACCGATAAGTGATAGAAATAGTTTTGTATTTTTGGTTGAGCTCAATCTAGACATTTTAACTGGACTTGGACATTCATTTAAATTTTGGTTTCGACTGAATTATATTTGTATATACCTACTTCAAGAGTTTTGTGGCCAATCTCCTAGGAACTTGGACATTCATTTAAATTTTGGTTTCGACTGAATTATATTTGTATATACCTACTTCAAGAGTTTTGTGGCCAATCTCCTAGGAACTTGGACATTCATTTAAATTTTGG